GGGGAGTGGAGGGCGGGAAGGGGAGGGGGGTGGGACTTCAGGGAGAGGGGCGGTGGCGGATGCGGAAAAGAGTTTTCTTCAGTTTTAGCTTTAAACTCGGACTTTTGTAGCACTGGTACCTGTGCCTGGGGAGGGGCGGACTTTTGTAGCACTGGTAGCTGTACCCGTCCCTCCTCCCGTCTCCTCCTCTCCCTTTCCCCTCTGCCCCCTCCACCCTTGGATCCGCCTGTGGGTCGTGCAGTAATATAGCAGAGCGTGTTCGGATATGAAGATGAGTGGCGCGATTTTTTCCCAACCATACTGATTTGCGGGAAAGGGCTCCACCTGAGATACCCCCTCTGTAATTCGTATTGCTGTTATATCACATTGTTTAAGCTGCAACAAAACCTGCTAGCAGAGTGCTTTTCAGTAGCTTATGCTTTTTATGCGTTTTTTGCAGCTATGCAATGTGGAAAACGCATATTGACTAGAGATTGTCTCTGTGTGCGCTGCGTGTCTGTACCGATTTTTCATCTCGAGACCAGCAAAAGCTACGGGGCTGAAATTTTGGGAACTTAATCTACATGCATTTATGGGCCCCCATTTCCAAAATGGGCGCTCTTACCCGCATGATACCCACTTATGAGCCCGCCAAAATTTTTTACGAGTAAGCTCCTAACTTGGGAGTCAGGAATACTGGGAGGCTGAAATTTTAAGGGAATGTTCCCCGTCCGAGTAGGTATTAATGGGCGCAAACCCAGCCCCGGGTAAGCGTGGTATCCACTTACGGGCCCGCCAAAATTTTTTTCAGGTAAGTCGCTAACTTGCGAATCTGAGAAGCCAGAAGACTGGAATTTTGGAGGTATGTTTCCTAACAGTCCTGACGGCCAGTCTGAAATTCTCTTAGCTAGAAGCATCTGCCGGAAAAACCAGTGCCGGTAGCGACAAAAATCTGCGGGGAACTATGCAAAAAATGCATGTTCGTACTGGCCGCGCGTGCGTTAGCCAATTATTTTTTAACGATTTGACAATCTTTTTAGGGACAGCTTTATTGACGCTGTTGCTGGGCGGATATTTGGCCCGGAAGTACGGGTTACCACCGCCACCACCGAAAATTGTCGCTATTGATTTGGGCACCACATATTCATCGATTGGAATTTATCAGGCTGTGACCGGTGCCACTGATATCGTTGCCGATGAGACGGGTCACCAGAGCATTCCAAGTGTCATCGCATTCCTGTGAGTTTGCTCGTTCACGTTTTCACTTCTCTTCTTTTCTTCCTTTCTCACTTTGTTTGCTCCTTCACTCATTTCTATTTCTTCCTGTCATCTATCTTGCAAATCAGTTACATGACCATTCAAAACATGGCGGATAGGAGGCTGTACTGATGATTCCCACTCCTACTCGCATGCACTGTTCGGTCTGTGTATACAGCTAAGTGATGAAACATAGAGAGCATCATAAAATGTCTTCAAACACATGACATTCAAGTGAAATCCTTCTATTCTTCTATTTAACGCTTCCTCTCTTTTCCTGTTGTGCTCTCGTTCATGCGCTTTCGAACAACTGTAAGTTTCACAACAAATTTGGACGACTAATTTCCTGGACTGCTACGCAGCTCGTTTCCACCAAGCGTACACCTTGGGTACCGCGGCAATAAGCCTGAGAGATATCGATTTCTGCTGAAATAATAGACCAGAGGGATTGTACTCAGCTGTCGAGCGTCCCAGCCACAGCCTCAAGCACCTCCTCAATCCAGAAATCGTTAAGAATCCCATCGTAACTCGGACCCGAACCGCAATCGTATATATAAATGAAAATAAGTTAATTTGCACACATGGATTTCTTGACAAACGACCGCTCCAGGTGTCATGTGTGAGGTGATACGGGTTCCTTCCGAATTCGTGGGCCTTTCACTGAAAATGAATACGGGCCGGGTTTTAACGATGTCTTTTAGCGTTCTTCCTGTCCTTGCTTTCATTTATTCTTTTTTGAGTTTTCCGTTTGTTTTTTATACATTTTGTGCTGTATAACAGCATTACAAAACGCATATTGTCACGGAGTTGTCAGTGTGTGTGCGTGTGTGTGCATACGTGTGTGTGTGTGTGTGTGTGTGTGTGTGTGTGTGTGTGTGTGTGCGTCCCACATTTTGTCCCGCACTTTCAACTCGGGAACCACAAAAGCTAGGTGGCTGAAATTTTGGTATAGTACTCTCCGCCAACGGGTGACGCGGCAAATTTAAATTCAGCCTTCCCGTACCTGCGGGTAACTCGTACGGCACCCTGCCAGCGGGTGACGCGGCAAATTTAAATTCAGCCTTCCCGTACCCGCGGGTAACACGTACGACCCCGTGAAAGTTTTTTACGAGTAAATTAATATCTCGGGAACCACGGGTTCTAGGAGGCTAAAGTTTTAGGGTAATGATCCCCTGCCCATGCTCAACCTTGCCCGTTCAAATTCAGCGTTCCCGCGCTCTTGAGTATCACCTACGGCTTCGTGAAAATTTTGGGGAGTAAAATCACGAAAAGATATTCACCCTTCAAGGTTTCGAATTCAGCTTTCATACGCTGGTGCGTGAAATTTTTAACTATTTTCCATTGTTTGAACTATTTTTGCGTAGACTAAAGTACAAAGCAGTGAAAATTATTAATAGGCAATCGTTCGTTGGGCTGAATTGCACCAAACGCATGATCGCACCGGCTAGTCTGGTGCGCGTTGCTACTTATTTATTTTTTGTTAAAGCGTTCCTTTCGTGATAAAGTGAGGGTTTTTTTGATAAGCAGTATGTTACTTTATTTACGGGAAACGAACAGGTTTTTTTTTGTTGCTTTTAATGCAAGTGATAGTAAAGCAGAAGTTGCATGAATTAGTAATGGTCGTAGCACATAGTAATGATAGATAATTTAGGTTTTTTTTTCTGTTTCAGGCCAAATGGAACGTTGTTAGTGGGCTTGCGAGCAGTGGAACAACAAGAGCATAATCCATTAGGTACAATCTATGATGCAAAACGTTTCATCGGCAAGAAATTCTCAGCGGATGACCCAGAATTCCAGGTCAGTGCATTCCCTAATTTAAGCTACTGATTTGTTTTTTTTTCGAAATTTAACAGCCTTTTTTTGTGTGTTTATTTCTTTTTTCTTATGTCCTCCTCGATGAGCAGGGTTTGATGTTAATTTAATAAAAGATCGATTCTAAAAATTTATCAATTATTACATCTCTGGTCATTTTGAAGTTGTTTTTGAACATTTTCGATTAGCATTGTAAGTCTGAACACTTTTTTTCAAACCATACACATTGAGTGTACATTTGCTGTATTTGATGAATAAATTCCATGTCGTATAGTAAATTTTGCAGCAAAATTTTGTTGTTTAGCTCAGATATTTGTCTTTTTACAGGATGATAAGAAGCGATATCCGTTTAAAATCGATTTGGATGACGAAGGAAGTGTATATTTTACTGTACCATTGGAATCTGGTAAAGTAAAGTGGGTTTAATGGCTGGACTTTTCGATAGCTAATTTTTATTTGCCTTTGTTTTAATTATCGCTTTTTTTTCCTAAATTCCTAAATCTGAATGTTGTCCGAGCCAAAAATTGGTGCCGTGTCTGTGAGTTTTTTCGATTGGGCACAAAATGGTCCAGTTTTGGCGTCTAATTTGAAAAATTCTGTCTTTTGCAGGAAAATTAGACCTGAAGAAGTTGGTGCGATAATAATCGATTATCTTCGAAAAGCAGCTGAAAAGAAGTACCGAACGAAATTCAAACAAGGCGTTATTTCGGTGCCAGCCGATTTCGATGATGCACAGCGTAATGCTACGGTGTTAGCGCTTGAAAAAGCAGGCTGGTCTTCTTTTATCGTTGATTTTTGAAACTGACTAAATTCTGCTTTCCTGAGACTGTCTTTTTATCAAACGAGACTATTTTGGTATTTTTTCAGGGATCGAATGTCGACGTGTGATCAGTGAACCGACGGCAGCTGCTCTCGCTTACGGTTTACATAAGAAAAAGGGTGTTCAGTATATTATTGTTGTTGATTTGGGTTGGTTTCTGTGGTTTTTTGTAGTTTATGAAAGACAAAATTTGACCCCAAGTTCTGTTGCTGTTCTCGTAATCTGCTAATCTCTTACATACAGCTGTGCCAGGCCTTTCTAGTTCACATTCTTGCAGATGTGTGCGAGATCTTTAAGTATACTAGTGTAGTTTTGCTCTGTCTTTTATGCATTTTGCGCTGTGCAATAGCTGCACAAAAAGCATTTTGTCACGGGTTTGTCTGTGTATGTGTGTGTGTGTCCGCAGCAGCTTGTTCCCAACTTTCAACTCGGAAACCGCGGGAAAGTTTGGGGGAATTTCCCCCACCCGCGGGGGGCCCCGCAAATTTAAATCAGCCTTCCCATACCCGCAGGTAATACGTACGGCCCCGCAAAAGTTTTGGCGGGGAGAATTAATATTACGGGAACCCTGGAATCTAGAAAGCTAAAATTTTATCGATATGTCCACTGCCCACGTGCGACCCAGAAAATTTAAATTCAACCTTCCCCTGCCCGCGGGTTGCATATACGTCACCGTGAAGTTTTTTTTTCGTGTAAATTACTATCTCGAGAACCACAGAATCTAGGAAACTGAAATTCTAGGACATTGACCCCTGCTCACATACGGCCTCGCAAATTCAAATTCAGCGTTCCCGCGCTCTCGATTAACACCTACGGTCCCGTAAAAAGTTTTAGAGAGGTAATTATTGTCTCGGGAAACACGAAAGCTGATAAGCCGAAATTTTACGATGACGTCCCCTGCCTACATCCAGTCCCATAAATTTAAATTTAGTCTCCCCGCAGGCCGGGTCTCACTTACAGCCCGGTGAAAGTTTTGGCGGAGAAAATTATTGTCTTGGGAACCAAAAAAGCTAGTAAGCTGAAATTTTAGCGTGGCATCTCGTGCCCATGTATGACTCCGCAAATTCTTGTCATCCCCTTGAAAGTTTTGGTAGGAAAAATCATCATCTCGGATACCCTGATGCGCGCCGCTATTTATTTTTGTTTATACGTATTGTCGTTAGCGCTCTGTGCTTTTTCAGGTGGTGGAACGTTGGATGTTTCGATATTATGGTTGCAAGGTGTTATGTTTATGACGATAGCAATGGCCGGTAACAATAGGCTTGGCGGACAGGATTTTAATGATCGTGTTCAGCATCATTTGATGGAGGTCTTACTGGTTTTTCTTTTGATCATTTTCTGTCTTATCACTTTTGTTGCTTTTATGTCAGTAGTAAGTGTGGGATATGCCCAGTGAGGTTCTGATCTTGGCGTGGTCTAGTGGAGCACACAAGCTGATGTATTGTTGAAGTTCTTTATGATACGTTGTTGCATTTAATTATAAAATGAGAACGAAGGGGTACGGGGAATTATACTCAGCCAGCAGTTAGCGCATAGGTAAAAAGAAATTGACTTATCTGCAAAACATCGAGTTTACTGGGGGACCCGTTTTAGTCAGTATGTTGTCCTGAAAGCCCAGAGACAGTGCCGTTGATGGCATGTGGATAAGATGATGTCCAAGTGAACCGCAATTCGAAGGCGAAAAAGAACCCGAAGACTGTGAAGGAGGTGGCGCCGTAGATGAACTGGAGAAAAAATGAAGATGAAGAAAATCCCAACTGAGGAAAAGGGGCCCTTATACAATAGGGGCAGAGGGGGCGCGGTTCAGACTGTTGTCCCACCGAGTCTACCGCCCTATCCAGTTGTATTCCCAGACACCGGAAATGTTTGTTTCGCCTGAACAATGGGTTACATTATGGAGAAGAAAGGGCCAAAAGATTATTAATGGGGATCGGAAATGTAAAAGAAAAGATTGGGGTAAAACAAATAAAAGCATTTATCAAATAATACCCCGTTATCGTAAATGCAGCTTTGCGATCAAAACAGCTGCATTTGCACAATAACGTCAATGTGTATTTTTGTAGTTTATACGAAAAAATCGTGGGAAGGCGCTTGGAGATAAGGGAGATATCCAGCAATTACGACTTGCTATTGAAGCGGCCAAAATCCAGCTCACTACGTTTCCTGTTACAAATATCGATTCGAATTTGCAATCGCTTGGAAAATTCCACTACAGGGTAGTGATTTTACAGTTTTTTTTATTGACTGAAGTAATTGGTTCCATTTGGTATACCTGCTTGGTGCAAGTAGTACAAATATTTAGCGAATTTTGTGCCGAAGAAAGGCAGCGTGGATTGCATTTATCAGACTTCATAAGATATTTTTGAAAAACAAATTATCTCACATAAAAGCGAAATTTTTAAACAGCACTGTCCCTCATTTACTGTTTTTTGAAAGCGAAATGTGAAGTAGTCTAAAAGTGACACTTCGATCAGTGTGATATCTTAAGCAATAGTAGGCTGTGGCACATAATAAGCGATAAGCTGTAGCTCCATTTTTGTATTAAAAAGCAGTAAGGGAAATTTGGATCAAGAAGAGAAGCTGGGCGGCTCGTCATTTGACACGGATGACAGATAGCAGATGGATGAAAAATATAAATAAAAAAAAAATAGTATGGCTACCTTCACGTTGCACTGATGCGCTAATTCAAAAGCATAAAATCGTACTGATGTGGAAAGAACAAAATCGAGTTGTCGTATGCGTGATGGGAAAGTTCAGACGATGAATTAACATTATTCCAATGGAAAAATATTTTAAAGTTGGAAGAAGACAAGTGAAAATAATATTATGAAATTAGTAGAAGTAATATATTGTAATGATAAGAAATATTTCGTGAAATATTATAATGGCATTCCAGATTCACTGACTTGTTGTTTAAACAAATGCTTTTTTTTTGTCAACAAAGGTCCATCTTTCCACTGTGATTTAAGACAGCTTACTGTTGTGACCATGCTGTTCCAGATAGAAATGCTAAATTTATCGCACTTCTGTGCCGCTTGCATGCTCCCTCCATCTCAGCTGTTTACAACTTCCTCTTGTCAATCTTAACGATTATCACTGAGTATGGGGATAGAATTCTCTAGGGAATCGAACGTCGGGTGTTGGGTAGACGAGTCAGAAGGCGACTTCTCGGCCTCTATTGCGAATCGGATCGAAACCGTTATTTGCTTCTAATTACCAAAATTTTTTGAATATTTAGCTTACGCGAGAAGAATTTGAAGCTCTGAACGAGGATTTGTTGGAAAGTGTTACTGAACCAATAGAAGCGGCGTTAAATGATGCTGAAATTACGGCATCTGATATTGATGAGATTGTTCTTGTCGGTGGTTCCACACGCATTCCACGTGTACGATCTGTGGTTGGCAGTTATTTCGGGTAAGCACTGGAATTTTGAATCAAGACTTATCGCTGCTTTTAAATAAGTACCTGTTTTTTTTTTTTTTTGAAATTTAGATATTGTCGAGCGATGAAACGTACTTCCTAGTTATTTTGTTAATTTAGAAAAGCGCCAAATCACGGTGTAAA